TAATTTCCACATAGCCCCCCCCCATTAGGAGCACTAAACCCTAAACCCTAGACCCTAAACCCTAAACCCTAAACCCCTAAACCTCTAAACCTTGATTGTGCCCTTCTGTCTGGCTTCTGCGACCTAGAGCCCGTCTTCAAATCTAGGAGCTTCCTGGGGTTTAGGGTTTAGGGTTTAGGGTTTAGGGTTTAGGGTTTAGTGCTCCTAATGGGGGGGGGCTATGTGGAAATTAGACTAGCCGGAACAGGGTGGTAAAGGGTTGCAATAGGGCTTTCTGCCTTGTTTCAGTCTGACCGTCTGAAGTATGATTGAATGATATGGGCATTTTCCGGGAAAAGGGTGAGCACAGCTCTTTCCTGAGCTGAAAACCTCTACCTCAGCAAGAACCGTAAACCCCTAAACCCTAAACCCCTAAACCCCTAAACCCTAAACCCTAAACCTCCGAAAGAGCCATCCCCTCCCATCCCGCCGCGAAGACGGCAGCTGCGTCGCTTCGGGAAGGCGAAAAGGTGGCGGACATTGTCTCGGCCTGCCATAGCGAACCCAATGCTGCTCAAACAAAGACTCTTCCTTTAGGGTTTAGGGTTTAGGGTTTTAGGGTCTAGGGTTGAGGGTTTAGGGTTCCCTACACCGTAAGAAGGAGCAGAAATCAATAAAGGCATACTCCTTAATGACTGGGGATTGGATTTTCTGAGCTCAATCACTTTGGGACATCGGTGGGAAACATGTTGCATTGGTTTTCGCCGATGGCTCTGAGAACCTCTCTCCGCAATCGGCTTCAAGAACATTTTAAAGTTGGGGTCGGGACTCGATAGCCATTCACCTTGTTTTGTGCTACACGGCTTTTGAGGGGTTGAGGTCAAGTTTGGGGGTTTAGGGTTTGAGGTTCGGGATGCCTTGTGAAGCCCCAAATCCTAAAGGCCGCCGTGAGGGTTTAGGGTTGTATTTCTTTCGGGGGTGCTAGGGCACACTACTGCGGCAGCTTGCCACAAGGATGATCGCACCTAAACCTTTGTAAATCCTGGACACCCCACCTAAGGCTTAAAACTCCCGAAACACTTGGAGAACTTCGCAAAGCCGTTCAAAGCCTGTGCGGAACCCTCAAAGAGCCTTGTAAAGCACCTAAACACCCAAACCGTCTACTGTAGGCGCCTAAATAATTACCAATACTATTTAATACTCTTTTGAGGCTCCTTACTAGTATAATAGGCTCCGAAACGCCCCTATATTAACCTACCACCCACTCCCGCACCCCCAGACGGGCGGTGGCCTGGTTTGGCTCGGTGGCCCATTCCATGAACTCGCGGTACCAGCTGTCGACAACAACATCCTGGCGGAGAACAAGAGGATCAGGTGATATCATATAGGGGCCCAAAAAATAACCAATACTGCTATAGTTTTCCGAATTATAAACTACAACTACGAATAGCAAAAAACCTTCAAGCCCTCTTCAACATGGATGTCTACCCAGAGACTCCAATATCCCTTAACTAAGGAATATACTTCAAATTATAGTAGGAACCCTAATAAGATTTAAGGTATATTCCCTAAACCCTAAAACCCTATCCTTTAAAGGATATTGGAGTCTCTGGGTAATTTGGGATCGGTCGTCAAGGCAAAGCCTCGTATCCCAGGCCCTCACTCAATGCACCAGCAGGCCTTCGAATTAGGGTTTAGGGTTTAGGGTTTAGGGGTTTAGGGGTTTAGGGGTTTAGGGTTTAGGGTTTGGGGTATAGGGCTTAAGGGTTTAGGGACGCACTTGTCCAGTATCATGGGGAACTTAAGGTTAACCTTTTGGGAGTATATTGAGATTTTATAGGGGTTATAGTACGTACCTCAAGCAAGTTAAAGATTACCTGCTCTCCTACTAGGCTGTTCGACTCATACAGGGCGACTTTCTTCCCGACAGCTCTTAAGTCCTGTGGAGCCCTTTACTACCTTGCTAAAAGCACTCATGAAACCGGTAAAGACGTGTATTGAACACCGAGCCTTCTGCCACGAGTGTCGGATGGAGTTTCTGTTTTAAGCTGTGCTGTGGTGTTTGTTTTGAGGAGTTGCGGTTTAGGGTGCAGGTGTCGGAAAGTACGTTAAGTATAGATTATATATCTATATACAAGTAAGGTATGTAGCAATTGCTATTCAGAGGGTGTGTATCGGGTTCTCTAAGGATTTGCGTACTCCCGCAGAAAGCAGACCTCTCACTGGCCCAAAACCCAAGGA